TTATAACTTCGTATAATGTAGTCAACAGAGTTCTAATGTTGAACGTCACTCCCTAGAAAAACAACAAAACCCACCAGATGAATCGTTTTGCAAGGCCGAAACATTTTGTGACAGACTTGCGCGGGAATTCGAAGCGTGACAGTCATTTTTCAGCGTTTACGCCCGAATCACAACACAGTTTTTTGTTGTCGCTTTCTTCACGATCCCTGAAATAAATATCGAGTTATGCCGGTAAGGATCATATTTTAACGTGGGAACCTATCTCCCATTAAACTGTCAGACAAGATAATTGTTTCTAACGCAGAGATTTATAGTGATAATCCCCCACGCTGAACTGATAATCGAACTGCTAGCATTGCACAAAAAACTCGGCTCCTGTACTTTGACCATACAACACAAACCACCGGGTCTTCGGTAAAGGCCGCCAGCGGCCCGTATCAGCACGAAGCCTCGCATCCCAAGTCAACCACAACAAATAAAAGCAAGAACGCCCAGAACGTAACCATAACAAATTGGAGACACCCAACATGGTATAGGGCAATCATGAATGTCGATCACGCATAAGAAATGACTGTTGATTTACACTAAAAGAATTAAGGCGATAAAAAATCATTATATTTCTAGAATAATAACTTTTGCTAAAAGTACCGGGAAATACGAGCTGCTAATCTGATCGATGCGCTTTTCTGAGATTGGTCGCGCCGAATCGTCCACTTTCCCCATAATTAAAATCAAATCAAAGTCGTATGTAGTACAAAATTTCCTGATATGCTGTCCGTACAACTTGATAAACGAACTTCCAGCAATGAAGCTGCTTGTAAACATCGGGCGAAATCGGCCCATAACACGTTTTTTCAAAGAGCTGCGGAAAATTTGCATGTCAGCATAAATCACATCAAGGCTAAAAAAAAGAAGGCATTTCCAACAGACAAAGAAAAGAGTGTAGCGAAAAATCCAAAAAACAAATAGATGACCAGTGACCGCCTGATATATATATTTTCAGACATGCCGTATTCAAAAATGCACAAAATTCGACGACATCAGAACGATCTATGATCGTGTCCTTATGAAAAAAATCTCGAATAGTAAAGTAAAAGACATGGTCTCTAACGCGTTACGGGTTGACACTCCACTGAGCCTTGTCTAAACTTCTCACATCGTTCTCTGTCAAAATTCTGGTTGTAGAATCTATTATTGTAAGACGACTTCGCAGCCGCCGAGTTGGGGAAGCGAAAAAAGTGCGGCCACACCTACCAATCGATTACATTCACCACCAGGAGATCACTTCACACATCTCGGAAGTTCTCAACCAGTTCCAAGCTTAGAAAAGTGAAGAATTTCAACAGCTAGCCTGGCGTTGCTGGCTAACATAAAAACTAAGACAAAGCGAAAGCTGAGGGCTTAATTCTGCTCATATTGTATGGAGGCCAAAATACAATCCCGTGCTCTGGCTTTTGGCGGACCAGATCCACACAGTTTTTTCGATGAACATTTTGAGAATCGAATTTTTTGATAACGATTTCCCCGTTGGAATTATGAAGCTGTCGCCAAGTTTTATCAGTCAGCCAAGTAAATTTCATCTAGTATTAGATTTCATCAACAGACATAAAGGATAAAGGATAAAGCATTTGCCGTTGATCAATCCCTTTTTGGGACGCATTCTACTTCCATTTGTACATTCGTAGTTTGAATGCGATGTGGCCTATACAATGACTTGCGGGGGCCAGCCGATGTACAAGTCAGTGTTTTTATCCTCCCAGACAAGTCTGGTACCAATTAACCGACCCCGGAGGGATGGAAGGCTTGGTTGGCCCGGGCGACTCACGACCCAGGATTTGATCCGCTCGCGTGGTAAGCGTGCCACTTGCCACTACACCACTTCCGCCCATCAACAGAAATAAGTATACTTTATGTGTTAGTACACTGAGCAAATTATCTCTCTTCAGAATCTTAATATTATGTCATTTTTCCTCCACATTTTGCCTACCAACCATACCACAACGCCGAACTCGTTTTTCTTGTGGCGTCAAATTTCTTGTAATCCAGAATAATTCAAATTTTTGAGAACTGCATGAGCACTCGCAAATGTCACTGGAGTGACTCGAATGGGTGGAAATCCGTTGGCGTTAAATCTGTATCATAGAGAGGGTGCTCGAGTCGGTTTCGGCACAATGATCGAGTACACCTGTGCAGCCGCAAATTCCAAAATTTCTTTTTGGCTGGGCTATATTGTAGCAAGTATATTCAGGGGCACACCAATGGATGGCAAGTATGTACTTCCCGCACAAATTGTGCAAAAGAGGGAGCGTTTTTGTCTCAATGACAATTTTTTGCAACTTAATAATAGATAGAGCGCTCTCTCACAGAAGCCTCATAGCAATCCAATTGCGTTTGCGCAAGACGCAAGCAGGCGAAAATGATCCATTATATGCCATCAAGAAAACCAGCCATTTGTCGAGTGTTTGCCAATGACTTGCTTTGATTCTTACTGGGAGAGACCCAGAAAAAGCCCGCTGTAATTAACACTACACTGACGTAGATCTCCACCACACCGTCCGATGCCGCCATCTTCATCTACCACATCAAAGAGATCCGAGCGTCAAAAAATACAAATACATGTAAGTAAAACAATTCCCGGAAGCTTCATTAAAGGGCGGTAGCAATATAGAACGCAGTATTCTTGTTGGAGATCATCGAGTAACGTAGCTGAAGATCTCTGACTCCGATTACCGATTAGGTGAGATAAGTGGCGACAGCGGACACACACGGGACTCGTCACACTGTTTGTGAAATTCAAGTGGCCGGAACTCGATTGGAATGTGTTAAGCAATACACGTATTTACCCTAAGAAGATCACATACATGGGAAATCGCAAAAGTGGTCAGCATCACTTTTGTCGGATCCGCCTCGTCTTCTCATAAAAGCGGAACCAAGTGGTTCCATTGTGTTCATCGCGCAACAATTTGTTGTAGTCAAACTGTGTTGCAAAAAAAACAGTCGAACTTTTCAGGTCATCAATTCTCATCAGCCTGTACGGAGTATTCACCAGTAACCCGCTAATTAACATATGATCAGAACCAGCATAAAGCGAGCACATTACCATCGGTGTGTTGCACGCAATGGGAGGCGCACACACGCGTGGAAACTGGTATTCACAGGCGGCTGAAGAGTCGCGAGAATGTGGATCTTCCTTGCGTGGTCACAGCACGGCGCGTTAGTTCCCGCCTGAAGTACAGAAACAATCCTTCTGATGCTCCGCCTCTACCCGCATTGTGCTCCACGCCCAATGCTCTTCGAATGAAATCTATAGGAATCGCCCCCATCATGGCGATGGCAGGCGAGGGTGGTGGAGGATGGTCGTGAGGGTTAACCCTGAGGAGGGGGTCGTATCGAGGCCCTCTAGAAGGGGGGAGGAGGTGATGAAATTCCAGGAATTGGTCCAACGTGACGGTTGACCCTGATCACAACTCCTTCTAAAAATGAAATTTTACGTGGCCTCTCCGTTCTTGAATACGGCCTTCGATTGTTCTTTTTTGCGACCTTACTCCCGTACATTCAGATCTGCAATAGGAGAGCAAGGCGGTAGAATGTTCTGTCGGCGGTAGCGATGCCCTCCGAGAGCTCGGACGGGTTATTCACCAATTGTCAGGTTGCTGATAATCGTTCTCGTCAATTGTAACGCTCCCTCTAAGCTGGATCCAATGCTCACTTTTCTGCACAAAGGTTTTGACTGACGCTCAACTCAAGCACCCGACAAACGCGTCAATCATTCAGCCTGGAAACTGGTTATGGAACTTACAGTTGGATTCAGCGGCAGTATTCAGCGTAAGAGTGTATGATTTTGATTTCATAACGCATGCTCGCCAGATAAAATAAACACTCTAATTGTTCAAAAAACCACGATAAGAACGCCAGTTTGTGTTTTTTTTTTCGTTTTTTCTCTACAACTTAATTGGTTTTCGTTTTTCCACCAACAAAAGTAGATAGTTCATCTCGGCTTGCCCAACCCTACCACGCAATTTCCAAACTCTATTCCCGAGGAGTCTTGTTTTCAACCCACTTTTCCACTGAGAGCCCCTGCGGGACAAGCTGTTGACTCGAGCGACGCTCGCCAATTATACGTAGCATCGTTGATTGCACGCATAAATATAATAAAATTGCAACTTCAATCTAAGGAATAAAAATAGGTTGTTTGGTTTCTTTGTATGATGCTGATCATTTTGGTATCGATTCCCACTCAAATGGGTGAAGTTTTTCAGAGGTCTTATAGAACGATAGTCCCTTTTCGAAATGCTAGGTACCAAAAGTGAAATGCTTTCTGATCCCAATAAAAGACGTGCTTATTCTACACAAACACATTTTGTCTGTGTAGTCGAAAAATTCGGAATTTTAAAACTTAACTTTATTGAACTTGGTAAGCCGAGTTGATCTATCTACTTTTGTGGGTGAAAAAACAAAAACTAATTGAGTTATAGAGAAAAAACGAAAAAAAAAACGCAAATTGGCGTTTTTATCGTGCGATTTTTTGAACAATTAGGGTGGCATTGTAGAAACAATCCTACTAAGAATAATGCAGAAACTGTTTCAGTGAGATATTATTATACATCACCTACGTACTTTTATAACGCTATAATTTTAAATTCACTTCCCCAAAACACGTATAGAACATATACGAAGTTATTACGTCCTTCAAAGATATATAACGTATCAATTTAACAACGCTTCAAAAGTGACAGGGATTCTTAAATTACCAGAAAATCAAGTGAACAACTTGAGCATGACTTCCATATTGAAAAGGATACATTACGAACGATACAAACTGGCAATTTCACAGCATACGAATCCCGTAACCCCACTGCCGTGCACCCCACCGCCCCAGAGTGACTAATGTTTTATGATAATGGTAGAAAAACAAAGCACAGCCATAAGCCGATTGAAACCCGCAGCAATGAATGAGACACCGTATCGTAGCATTTTCAACCGTTAATTTTTTGACGAGATCATTGTTCAATTGCTGCTAAGTTCGCCTCTTCGGAACGTCTGAAACTTCCACATATTTTCGCCTAATTAATTTTGAGTATCTGACAGGCAGGTTCAATGATAAGACGGATGAATCGAATTAGCAATTTTACATCTCATAGCGCAATTCCACTAAAAAAGTGTGCCGAGCCTTCCAGTTTCCGTCACAAAAAGATCCACAATCGAGATTTGTTGAGAATTTTGGAAAGAAAATTTACGATGCTAGAAGAAAACAGACTGATATTCTTGGCTAAATCAGTCTCATTAGTACACACCATGACGCATCATTCATAGATACTTGAATAGTTTTCGGGTATTCCATTATTTGAGAGCAGTTAATGAGGAAATCACGGTCACCCAAATTGATGGGAGATCCTCCACACACCATACGATTGATCCTCAGGTAACGAAAGATGGTACACCTGCTAGCGACACGTGAATTATGGAAGGATAAAGGTAGGAGCAGATGGTGCAAGCATGAAGAAAAATTCAAGGGGACTTATTGAATACCCTCAAAAATTACTTTAAATTCCCTAGGAGACCGTTCAATGAGTCCACTCGCTTGGGGTGACGTCACAAATTTTGCCGCTAAATGTTTTCTCTCCTTTGCTATAGCTCACTTGCCGGCAAACAGCAATCCTCCTCAGCCATATCCAACATATAGGCCGAGCCACCATCACAGATGTGTGCTCGTTACCAAGGTGGCGACAACCATGGTGCAATAAGATCCTTGCTCAGGCCGGCTGCGCGCGACCCGTTTTCGAGGAAAATGCATGTCTGCGGTAGACGCGAGCGTCCCCTTTACAGGATGCAAAATTCGCATTTATTCAGCAATCCAGTTTTCTCCGTCACGACCTGCGTCTGAGCCTTACCAGACATTTTCAAGACTGACCCCGCAATTATAAACATTGCACGTTTTGCAGGTTCAACCGTAGTCAAGTTTATTATCCTGCAAATTGCTACCAGACCCCAATCGAAACACATTCGTTTATTCGTGGCCGAAAAGCGTTGACATTGACTATGATAACACATGATATATGTTTATGGACAAAACTGAGAAACTATCATACTGAACAGTATATTTTATTGTTGGAGCAGGTTTCTAAAAGTTACCACTGCAGGGAGTGCACTTCAGATGTTCTGAGCACAGTAGAACGAAGTGAGCTTGTACAGCAAGCCCTAGCCCAGAGCTTTAGCGCTTCAATCATTCATATGTTGAAACTGCACTCAGGACTAACTCTAGGGAAACTGGGCGAAATCAATGCAAAATAAGACAGAAATAGTTTTTTGTTATAATCCTGAAAAAACATTGATACCCGTCAGAATACTGTCGCCGTCTGATGTGAGACACGCCGTTGTTGTCTTTTCCGAGTATGTATATAAACTCAGGCTTCGATCCAATAATCATCAGTTTACCAACCAGATGGTCATCGTGCGTTATAACAATCATCTGAAAAACATGAATTCCTGAGCGAACTGCATCCAAGGCATGCCTACAAAATAAATGTTTCTCGAAATCAAGACGTCAACAATTCCCATCACCTGAAACTGCCTATTGCGGTCGCCTCTCCTGCGAACAGCAATCAGATTATTCAACATTCCAGCGATGTGATCTACCTGGAAAAGAATCCCATGTAATAGGAAAAAATTCGTGTTCAAACTTTATGAAGTCTGTGATCTAAAAGAGATCCGCGTACTCCATTAATCGGTAAACCCTGCATCAGCTTGAAGAAGACCAATAAAGCTTAACCCATTCGCGACCGCGCAGGATTGCGCAATAGCAGCAGCGTCAGGAGATTTTTCTTCAATAAAATCCGAGTGAAGGGAGATTTCCTCTGCCCAGGGCTGGCGTAGATGAGCGAGGGTATGAAGATTCTTTCCATGGAAGAAAACTTTCCAAATTCCATTTCAAGCCCTGCAGCCACAGTAATACCATTGTCCCGAGTGAGAGCTTTGTCAGCCACCGGTGGCTGACATTGTCACGAATGGGTTAACGACACATGTGAAACATTCAAACAACACATGTTGACGGCGACTGCGTCGCGCGACTTTTTCCGGGTTTGCGGTATCCTTGCATATCATGCATGCATTAGCATTCAGCAACTGAAGCTAGTTTGTGAAACTTGTCCAACACATCCCCCTTTATCCCAAGGTGGATGCGGCTGAAAGAGAAGAGGTTCCTATTTAGGGCGTGATCGGGGTTTCCTTTGCTTTCTTTTCCTTTTCCAGACCACCTCCCACCTCTAGATTCATAACTGAACGCTTTTCCACACCCATTTTATCCCGAAGCTTGCCTTTAAGCAAAATAATTAGTGATTAGGAGTGGAGTGATTAGGAGATGAGATTAGTCGTCTGCGTTGTGACCAATAAATAGTCACAAAATGCTCTCGGAGCAATCTCTCCCTGCTCCTGATCGACAGAGCTCTTAATATACCAATGTATGTCAACATTTGGAGCGCACTCCCGTGAAATGCATGGAATAACATCGCATCCACGCGTCAACCACGGACGACGCGCTCTCCAGAGGGATCCGCCACGCAGTCGACAGACAAACGCAAATGTTCACATTGCCGCTTGAGTTCTAGTGGAAGTGGACAATAAATGAATGTGATGCTGGAGAGGAAAAATTTCTGCTTATCGTTAAGGGTTGTGCGATGCTTTTACAGAAAGAGTCTAGTTGAGCATAAATTGCTCTAACAGATTTTTTTATGATCAAATGTTCATTCATATACTTACTTCCCTTGTCTCCTCGCCTAACTTCTGAAGTGTTGCCCCCTCAAACAGGGAGCTCACAGATAAGTAATTTGCAGGAAAACTGATTGCAATTGCGAGCACCGTTAGAGATGAACACATCTCCTGAAGGAATAAAAACGCAACCTTTAGTGCATCAAGATTCGTCGTTGGCTCATCGAGTGCAATTATCGAGCAAGCCCCTCCAAAAACATCAGCCAATGCGATACGAATAAGGATACATGCCAGCATCTGGAACAACGCTGTGAAGCCACGCTAGGCGACCAAAAATGGTGCTGCTGTATCATTAGTAAACGTACTGCCCATACTATCCATAACGTACTGCGTTATGCTCGATCGAAGGAATACAGAAAATGACATACTTTTTGCCCAGCACTACAACGATCCCTCATGTCCAGCTCCACTCCATTTTTTATCACCATCACAACGCGATAGTCATAGACTTTTCTTTTTTCCGTAGTTGCTGCACACTCTGATCTGAGAAGAGAACACGTTTCACTGTTCAGAAAGCACAGGACAAGAATAAAGTTTATTTCCGCCTATTCGAGTTTCAGCACCTGTGTTGAACCAGTCATTCAGTCACCTTACTAGGCATTCGACCGGCACAAGAACCAATACCAAAAGTTGAAGTTTGTTCTTAAGATTTTAATACTTTTAAGAACCCAGCACCTACGGCCGCGTTCCATATTCGCGAGTCAGAGAGATCCGGAAGTGCAGCGACAATCGAAAAGATGTGTATTGAACGCGAAGATTAGGATAGGAGCACATTAGATCAGCGGCAGATTAAGATAGTCCGTTGAGTAGATCAGATAGGTGTCGACCGAATTCGCCTGATGATAGTAGGAGATTAGGAGCATAGCAGATTAGGAAGTGAAGCTGAATGCAATAGTACATATTCGAATCGAGTTCGCCAAAAGCACGTTCCTCAAGTGATTCCGGTCGATGTGTCTAATCTCATTCGATTTGAAATACCTTCGCTCCTCAGTACCTAATCTTCAGTTGGGAACTCAAACACAGTCTCCCCACGAACAGAGTGGTAGAACAATTCCGTTCCGCTGAAGCGTGTCAGATCTAGCCGCTTGGCCATCTCACCACTCACTCGCCTCAGCATCAGGGTCAAGCGTGGTTGAGGAATCCTCGACGCGTCGACAGGGGGGGAGTCGTATTGGCACGCTGGGAGGAGAAATGGCCCGGGGATGGTACATGTAGAATACTCCTGTCGAAGCAGCGTCAACGCCCGTTGCGCAAAGACGAGGGGATCGTAATTCGGTGATACCGAAGGGAGAGGGGGTTGTATCTAGGGGATTACGGCGGCGCCTAGAAAAGTGCAGGTGCACATCGACGTTTTTCCATTTCCTCCAGCAGCCTGCACCAGTGAGCTGTCGAGGCGAGTCGACCGACAAGGCGCCATGGGAAGAGCTCCATGGGAGCATTGGAGCATGCAGAGCATTATAAGTCTCATTGTCAGCCATTATTATCCTTAATACACGGACGGCGCTTTCACTCGACAGCATAGATCAAGATTACAATAGCCAAAAACTTTGTTACAGCGTAGTGCAAAAACATGGTCTGTCTTCGATGATCGAACATTCCTGAAATCCCAAAGAACAAAGTGTAGAGCAGTTCATGGGGAGTGAAACAAGAGTACCATATGACAGTACATGCAACTTAGTCACGGTACTAACACCTTCTTCAGGAAAATGGAGGACTTTCAAATGCGAGTGCGACTTCTGTCCCACAGATAGGTGCACGGCGTATACCCGAGCAGGCGTTTTCCATAAAAAAAACGCCTTCTCTGTCAGCGGCCGTAAGCAGACAAACTTTCTGAAGAGAATTTTGATGCTTTCAAATAAAATCTAAGCGAAACAAAGTGTAGCGAATTTGCTGAATTGAGTTCTAGAGACGCCGTAGGAAAATTGAGGCAGAAGAAAGAATTTCAGGAAATTTCACAGCTGTTATGAAGTACTCTTCGAGTGGATTCCAACAATCTTTACCGCTTCTCATCACATTAATTTTTGAGCTTACTAATCACAAGGGTTGATTTTGAGGAAGTTATGGGCTACTTTGAAAACTGCATAGTCGCGGTCCAGGAAAATGGCTTGAAAAAAATCAAAGGTGGAAAAAAACGGAACAACGGGACTATTTTTTGAGCGAGTGATTATTTCAAGAAGTTTTAGCACTTATTCGAAAGCTCTAATCCTCTAGTTTCTAATTAGCCTTAGACATCTGCAAAATGTTGAGTATGAAGAAAGTTATGAACGTTTGAATGTCGAAAACTCGCGCCTTCTCAAAAATCGGACCACAAACCACCCAAAAACGGAACAACGGGACTATTTTTTGGAGAAAGCGCTGAATAACTTCGTATTTCTAAATCGGCCTTCGAGACATTCTGCAAAATGGTTGAGTATGAAGAACCGTTGATGACTGTTTGTGAATGCGGAATCGAGCGGTAGACGCACAAAAAAAGGAAACAACGGGACGATTTTTTGAAATACTAGAACATTCGTAACATTTCAAATACTTTTTAGGAAGAAAACTATTTGAATTTTCAAATTTTGGTGTCCGGTTCCATGAGACCGCTTCTGAAGAAAAATATAACCTTCTGAATGGAGGGTTTGGATTTGCAACGTAATTGCTACAAGGTTTAGTTTTTCAGATTATAAAATAAGGAAAATTGAGAGATCGAAAAAAACTTGGTAGGTTTCTGAAAGTAGAAATCCTTTGTGATTATTATCATGTATTGGTTCACGCGGAAATTCCTTTCTATTTAATGAATAAAACTTCATGTTGCCTCGATTCCCTCCTCTGAGCGAGACAGAGCGCGCGGATTGACCACGGTCCACCACTTCTCCATGTTGGTGACTGCCCACACATCAATGATGAGCATTAAATTATGTGAAACATAATAGTTAATACGGGGGTCGTACCGATACCCTCCGAAAAGGAAGGGGGTCGTAAAAATTTTGGAATTTGCGCAACGCAGGGTTGACCCTGGTCGGAAGACGAACATCAAGGATCGAATCAATGCCATGGAAGGCCAGAGGATTTCCAATAGGATAATGTTTCCACCGACATAAAATTTTTGTGACTCAGAGGTGTCCGCGTACTGATTCTTAGTTACCTCAATGTGTTATCACGATACAGTTGAAGAATGGAGACAGTCTAGGGTCTGTTGGCCGACGGCGGGGCATCTGCTGACGCAACTGCTATTGACAAAAGAACATGTTAGAGCCTGTAACATATACGGCGGCTCTCACTCAGCAAATTAAGACATGTTAAGAACCTTGACGTATTCTGAAAAGATCTGACCTATTTTCTGCCCTACCTCTTTTTTCTTTTTTTTCCACATCAGAAAAAGTGGCGCCTACAAGATATCGGGCTTCTCCTAGGACTAAGCCTCGAGGGTGGGCAAGAGCTACGAAAAATACGAAAATACACTCACTCGCTCTGGAGTCTCCCCTTCCCCCACGAAGGCTTAGTCCCTTTTTCTAACAAAAACAATCACCAAAATAAAGGAATGTGAAGCACACGGCGCGTCCCAGAGGTCCAGTCATTGCGCGCGCATCAATTACGGCTCTCTGAAGAAAAACCTTGATTGAGAAAAATCAAGAGATACCTGAAAGGGTCATCGAATCCACTACTTCAACAAGATAATGCAGGCCTCTAGCGTCAAAAATTCAAGATTACATTAAGTGTGAAAGGTTGGGATACGTCAAGTCTTTTTAAGCCCTGTTGGAAAGAACCAAGGTCTCAGAACCCTAGTCCTGCTCCTGTTTCAGTGCAATCGCTCCCTGAAAAGCGCAAGCTTATACTCTTAAAATGAGTGCCAATGAGCAAAGTGCACTTTCGGCGCACTCGGGCAAATCCCTCAACGTGGCCATTTTTCGAATACTGGACGTATGAAGCTGCTTTAGCAACCGTTTGATAGAGAAAATCTTCTAGTTTTGTATGACGTATCAACTTTTTGAATTTGACGGAAATGAAGCAAGTTATTGCTCCGGAAAGTGTAAAAACTCGTGCTCGTCTCGAATTTTCCTCGTTATTTGATCTAAATTTGTTATTTCTTATAACTTAATTGTAATTTCAATACTGATTAGAAAAAGCTCTTCACAAAACTCCAAATCCAGCTTTCAGATTGAAAATTCGTCATATTTGAAGAAAGTTATAATCATTTGAATATTATACGTCGCAAACTTCATGTGAATGAGCTCTGCTGCCACGGCCAGGACAGCAGAAAGGTCATTCAACACACAGCTGGCCTAGGCGCTCACAAGGCTTCTGTCAACTAAAATGTGGACGTGTAGATTGACAAGCATACTCAGTGTAATACCAAAATTTGGTAAGCATTTCGAAGGAAATAGATAAAGAAAATATGTTGTTGTCATAGTGTGTCATTTTTAGTGACTAGTTTGTCGTTTTTTGCTCCGCTTGTTGATAGGACTCATCAATAGTGATCATTCTTTGCTCTTTTTGTACCTTCGTACGTGCTTGAGCGACTTTTTTGGCGGAGGGTGGGGTATCAGGGCTTTTTTCATGAAATAGTTTTGGAGGGAGATTAAACAACTTTTCCAACCTTGTTGCGGCCGCTTGTGAAAAGGGTCGTTTCATAGACCTCGGCCTCTGGGGAGGAGAGCAATTTCAAAATTTTCCTCGTCGCCTCGCTTCACCCTGTTCAGCATTCTGTCCGCCGTTGGCAAGACAATCGCACCCAGGGAGCGAATCGCAGAAGGATCAGGTAAATGTTCGGATCTTATCTCATCAGCGAAGCCTCAGAGACTAGAGGCAAACTGTACCAGCTTCCAGGAACTAAATAGACCTTTTCAATCTCAGATACTTTATTCCTCGCTTCACACCGCGTGTCACTCATAGAGAAATTCAGGTGGAGATGTCTGCCTGTGATACTGTACGTAGCAGTCCCGCCGCATGAGGCTGCCGGATCGGATGCGTAAGAGGGCCGCAATGAATAGAAGTGAATTTCACGAACTTAACTTAATACTTATCCGACTTGAATGTCGGTGGCGAGTAGACTTTCCGCAGCAATCATCCCCAGAATTCGATTTTACTGCAATCTATTGTTACACTAGTGAAATCTGAATGATGGAGCTGTCAAGGCACTGCATGTACTTCTCCAAATCCTGCAACACGCCATCCTATTAGAGTAAATTCATAAGGAGAAACCTACCCATAGAACATATTTACTGACCGAAATCATCTCCTGTGTGACAATCTTGCTCACGACAACTTCATGGTAAAGACTTTCTGCTTGCTTCATCTCCTTGCTGGAAAGCGCTGTCATGGCATCACTAATCTGAACATAAGGTAGAGTCAAGTCTGAATAACTCACAATCAGAAGAAAAAAAAACATACTGGAAAGGATTTCATGTAAATTTCACCTTTTTCTCCCACCTCTTCCAGTTGCCCTTTGAGACGTGCTTTCTCCAAACTAGACTCGTCACGTTCCTTCACAGCCTTTCTAGAGTGGGAAAAATTAAACGGAGAAAGTGTGCCGGTCAAGACTTTGCACTTGGGACTACAAGGAGAAACGTATGAGGCTGGTTCCTCCAGTTATGCACTTTTTCCACCTTTTCAGCCACACCTCAAATCTGTCACAAGTGAGTGCAGCGGTGAATCCACATATCGATGCAATTCTTCGACTATGGCTCTGTTAGCTGTGTGCAGGTATGGCCCAGAGTGGAACATGTCGAGGCGGTAGAACACACGCGCCCGTCGAGGCGCATGGAAGTGTGATGTTGCTGGGAGAGGGCGTCACTCATAAAGCGAAATCTCGATGTGCGGTTGAAGAATCCTCAAACTGGTATTCACCCTGTATTGGGGAGGTGGCGAGAGAGGTCAGGGTTTGGCTGATGAGGAGGTAATAAGCCCGCGCGTATAGTGATGATACAAAGCACCTCTTGACACAACCGGGGTCCCTTCTTTGCTCTCCCTTCACCTGCTTTATGATACTCTTCATTGAAAAGAATATAACCGATTCCTCAAGATGATTCACGCAAAAAAGCTTGAATCTTAAAGTTCTGTCCTTCCACTCGTAGACTCAAGGCATACTTAAAATGGCCACATGCTAACCGGGGGACATTAGTGCTAAGGTAAGTCCATGTCGCATCGTCGCTTGTTGAGCGCATCGCATGACTTAACTTGATATCCATGCAATGACTTTCTACGCCATAAGGTTTTCTCCCTACGTTTTGTGCCATAAAAATGTTCGTGAAATAAATGCCTTCGTGAAGCCATTTCTTCACTTGAAGCTCTTCGCCGGCCCCCTGCTCGGAAAGCGTTTTATCTGCATACATAGCTGATCTCGATAATTTTTGTCTGCAACCTGATTGAAAGAGCTATACGATCACTTCACTACATAACTTAAAGCAACAGTTCAGGAACGGTTTCGCGGGAAAAAACCACCAATAATGAAGTTGTAGATGAAAACCAGACGATTAATGTATGAAAAACTGGAAAAAAACGTCGGGGAGGGTCTTAGACAGGTACTCTCCCTCTGCCGCTCAGCAATGGATAAAGACGCACGTTGGACGAGTTGTCTGAACGTGCCCGCTGTAAACGCGCTCCATTTTTCAATCAATTTTCCCTGTGGTCCCAAAACGAGCACGATTGCCGACGCGTCCAATGACGGCCGGCAAGGGGGCGGGATTGGGGAAATCCCCAAGAACACCCATGTTTGAGGGACTTTCCACCCTGTTTTTGAGTTTCTGAGGTAAGTTCGTTTATTATTTCCACTGCATATGTTCTTCACTAGGGCTCGTGTATCCCTCAGTAGTAGTGGCATTGAAATTTTCGGACCCTCCCTGAACTGTTGCTTTAAGATGCTATTCCGAGCAAAATCTAACCACGCGGTGGCTTGGTAATGAAAGCCGATTACGGATGTGATCAGAAAGTAGCACATCGAAAAAAAGCAAAATGGCGCGAAAAACATTGCAAGCAGAGGAGAAGCTGCACTGAACAAAAACTAACGTCACGCTCTCGATAGATCACGTCCTTTTCTTCACCTGGGTAGACAAGCTCGGCAAGCTCCTTCTCCACTTTCGATATCCTGCCAACAACTAGAAGACGAGTCAGTTGATCCTCGAGAATGCGTCGTTTTGCATGCTGTAATTAAAAGATTGGAAAGAGTCCTGCAACACCTTTACCTAACTTTGATTTTATTTTTAGCTTTTTGTTTAGTATGATTTCATTTTTAGCTTTTTGTTTAGTAGACTCAATCAATTGTATATTCACCATCTATGTCTATCACCTTTCCATAACGCTCAGCTGGCTTCTCAACGTCCTTCGTACAGAACGCAAGCGGCTGCGAGTGAAAGCAGCAAGCACATTTTTAAATTGAAGTTGGTGGCAAACTATTCGTAATAA